TCTTCAGAAGAACTAAAAATATACGAAAATCGCATAATTTTTTTCAAAAATATCCCAAACTAGGAATTTCTTTTCCTATTTTTATATACGTCTTTTATATAAATAATATATGGCAGTGTCTCCAGAAAAGACGATTCGTCATTTTAACTTTCAAACGCGGATACTTCTTGACACACATGAATTTGAAGACTAAGATTTCAACAATGAGCTTTGAATACTATTACTGATTGGCTAATCTCAAAAATCCCGTTTCTGAGATTATTGGTACAAATACAAATAGTAGGCTTAAGTTGGACAAACATTGTATTCATAATTATATAATAGGCTAGACGAATAGCCATAATCTCAGTTTTAACTCAAATATAACCATCTAAATAATACATTCTTATGAAAATGAAAATGAAAATGCCAATTCTTATACCAGTAGAAAGTAGAGGTGTTCTAATGACTTGGCAAAATACCAGTTTGTCTCACTTGTCCATAACTAATTCATAATTACCTAAATCACCAATGAGTGACCGATCAAGAAAGGTCAAAAAATCTTTTTTTTTGTTTATCCAGACTGTACATACATGGACATTTATGATCGGTTAAAACTCTTGTTTATATGCAATAAAAACAAAATGATATGATTAAGAATACATTATAATTTATTAGAAACACCAAATCAAATAGTTTGCTTATTTTGACACCAAAGAACAAGGAAACCCATCTTTAAGAGATGATAACACTACAATGATCGGTGCCAATGGCAAAATACATAAGACGTCGCATGATAAATAAATCTGCACATATTATAAATTTACAACAACAAAAAACAAACACACAAAAAACAAGGGAATATATCATGGTATAACACACTTCTTTAATAACAAAGCACATAACGTTTTAACATTCAAAGCAATTTACGTATGTCGTCAGAGGCATAATGTATATCTTAAATCTGCATAGATGGTGTGCTATCGCATTACTCTCGAAATACGCATTGACTCTAATAAAATATGAAGTAATCTAGTTAAGTATGTATTGTTCAAAGTTCTGTCACTAACTAGAATTATATTTAAAATCTCTGTTCGTAACACTAAGTAATTATTTATCGACAAGTTTCTATAATTGGAGTATTCTAATGATAGACATGTACGTATAAAAATAAATCGGTCACTTCAATTAATAAAGAATCGATTAGCTCTCAGTTAATCTCGTCTCCCGGAAACCAGGAAGTTTGTGTTCACTGGAACAAAACGGTGAACAGCATCCTCAAACTAACTAACTTAAGAAAAGGTTGTAATTCATGTACCAAACTGAAAAAACCCTAACATACTGAAAGAGGTTTATTGGAACACGAGTGCCCACGAATCCTTGGATTCAATCCCGGCATAGGTCCAGATGATATCTTCAGATTTTACAGTTTCCCGTGTCAGTAAGGCAGGTAAGAGGGGCTGATATGGGAAAAGCGCATAGTCGTTCAGATGGGATAATAAACCGAGCACCCCCCACCCCGCTGTGCTACAGGCTGTGCACTTTAAAGATCTATCGACAATCGAAATAGGGCAGGCTAATGCCTCTGTCCTGGCAAAATTTCCCTCATTGTATCCTGCATGGCGTTGCCTGTCTTCATTAGCCCATATGGTGTAGAAGTAAAACGTAAAACTCCATTCATTTAATTTCATTGTTATTTAGAATCGTTGGGACAGTTTCAACAAAAAACTACTCTATCTATTAAGAACAGGTTTGCTGAACTTTTTATGTATATCGGGGACAATTTGCACCATTCCATTTTTTAGTTAGGCGTAAGGATCTTTGAGATATTGATGTCATAAAACGCATAGTTTGATACAATTACAAGAACCACAGACGTCCGATTAAAAATTGGAATGATGCAAATCCATGCTATCAGTGTCCCCAATACACATACAAATTTTAGAAAAACCTCTTTACAATCTCTTTAATGGTGTTCTATCTCACAGGAAAAGTCATGCCCGTGTTGGAATGAAACGTTTCAGAAGTCGTCGTTAATGAAAACATATGCCTGACGTCAATACCGCCATTTTGAAGAAACTTTGTTAGAAATTGGAACGCCGACAGTTTATCGTCTTGTCTTTCCGTTTGACATTTGTATATCAGTTGAAGAGCGGTTGCCCACGAGTATACCACCCGCAACTTGAGATCATCAGAAACGTCGTATCATTAACAATATGGCCTAAATCATGATATGTGACGCACCATTTTTCGTTTTTTACGTCAAGAGCTTAATTGATCTTGGTGTGTGGAATATTATTAGTTAGATGTTCGATTCTAAAATGAAAAGCAATAACCCACATGTCCAGTGAGCAATATCTTTTGAGAAAGAATTATTCAGTTTGCAATGCAACGTAGCTGTAAAAGAGGGAACCGCGTAAGAAAATTTTGAAGCACATCCATTGGTAATAAATAAAAGACAAACAAAATTGAGTTTTACGTCCTACTTTCTTCACCTGTGGGCATTATGGGGACAGACAACACCAAGTAGTGTACCACGGGGAAAAATTTCGTCTTAGGCCTTCTCGTTTTCGATTTCGAACTTTCGAATAATCTTTAAAGTGCAAAGCTTCTGTTTAGATTAAACACTGATAAGAATGCAAAGACCTAACAAGTTGAACCACCGCGGCTGTATAAGAAAAGTATTCTTCAATAATAAAATGTCAGAATGTACTGTTATGTAATTAATGTGGTGAACATATGGTTTTATCTTTCTTCGTTCTTAGTAATAATAATGATGAAGTACTGCATGTGTATGAAGACATGTTTATTAAAGTAAACAGATTTGAATAACGATGTCCATTACAGCTATACTTAAGCTTGGTGAAATAAGTATGTTATCATGCTTCAAAGTAATCAACTGGGCATTACCAAAACGTTCATGTGACAATTTCTGATGCAATATCTCAATTGTGCAATATACTCAGACAATATGTATCCCAAACAGGCTCATAACTTGAGGTAATGCTGCACAATTATGAGTTATGAGTTTCCCTCTGGAAATATTTCTAGCCACATCCTCCCACCCCCCCCAAACAATCAAGTCTGGCTACGGGCCTGATCCCAATGGTATTGCAAGGCTATAACCCCCATTAAAACAATGAGGAAGAGAGTCCACATCGGACTGTAGCTAAGAAGCCCTTCCACCAGCCGAGCCCAGGCTAAACAAATAATTTGCCATGAATATAATAGCACTATACATGCATAGGCTATGCGGTTAAATATGACTTGTTGACCTGTCTAGTCAATTGCAAATTTAAGCCGCTGATAACAAGATTTGCGGTGGGCAGGAACACAATATCATCTTAAGCTTGTGCAGCTACGATCTGCTCTCTCAGTGTACCTGCACTGTAACAAAGGATTACCAACGGGTCTTAAAAGATTTATAAGATTTTAGCGAAAATTTAACTGTTTTATTCAAGAAACGTATGATAATGATTAATGGTTTAGTTGCATGACATTTTCTAGAAATGAATTATATTGATTAAATGCCTGTACTCATCAGATAACTTCACTCGAAACTTTTGTTAATAATCAATGTACTTCTTCTTAACTATCTTTTCTCGTTATCACATTCAATGGAAAGGCCATTTGTAATTTTGTTTTGTAAATGCTTTGTTTAAAGGACCAGTTGCAGCATTTATTTTTTTATTTTTTTTTGGGGGGGGGGGGGGCTTGATTTTAATCTTTAATATACGTTAATAGTCATCAGAAGAACTAGATAATCGAATATCGCATAACTCCTTTAAAATACTTCAAACTAGGAATTTTACTCACTATTTCTATGTAGGCCCTATGTATTTTCTATATTATCACAGAATATTTTAAAAGACGAGTCGTCATTTGATCATTCAAATGTGGATAATTCTTGATACACTTTGATTTGAAGGCTCAAATTTCGAGGGTGAACTGTGGACACTATTACTGATTAGCTCAGCTAAAGAAAAGCCAGTATCTAAAACTAAAGTATGATTGGTCAAAAAAAAATGGCGCATCTGTCCCTTTAAAGTAGTTGTGAGGGTCGACTTTTTAGAGACTGTATCAATTTGAATTAAAACTATTTATATTTTGGAAGGTAATTGGGCGCTTTGTAGTGTGGCAAAGTCGTTCTATTCAATCAGGCTATATTCTCCGACAATAAAATAACAAAATAGTTAGGATTTATTGGGGAACGGGGAGTAAAGCAATGGATAAATTATCCTGCAAGGGGTAATAAATAAAGAGAAAAATGTTGAAAACCACTGCCCCCATAAAAGTGTTTAAATATACATTTCCGACACGACACACATATTTCAATTCCAAATACAACTATATTAAAGCTATCATTTCTCCACTTTTCCCGCTAAAATGGCAGCCATTTGGAATTTTCACTTGATGACGTCAAAGAGTGTACTAACAGAATCAAAGATCACTTTGGTATGTTTCAAGAACATAGCGTTGCCAAAAATACACTTATATCCACATTCACTTATTCCACGTCGCAAGGTTCACATATGTCCATTAAAGGTAGCTCATAGCTTGAGATACTCTTCAGTTGGGTTAGTGATGTTGATAATGCCAAGTTCAATATAACGCAGTGATGTCAATGGAAATTAGTTGTTGTTAGTGATGTTTATAGTGTCAAGTTCAATATAATTCAGTGATGTCAATGGAAATCTAATCATGGAAAGAGTTGGTGATTTGTTCAGTATCTTCATTCATAACATTCATTCTTCTAGCAGGCTGAAATATAACAAGGGAGACAACTACTCATAAATAGTTCTATACAATCTCTTTCTTGGAATTTTGTACCTCACTGATCGCGACCATCGTGAGTGAGACAAATTAAAGTTAAAAGCCTGCTGCGAAATAACAACGCTGAGCAATGGCACGATGTCTTTTCATACTGCCATAATGTGCCCAAAAGAATAAGAATCGTGTCTACCCTAAGCAGTGCTGGATCTCACCATCGAATTTTCTACTCAAAAACGATTACGCCGTTCTCAGTCAAAATGGTGTTTGATAATAATCGAAGTAACTTTACTTACCAAAGGAGTTCCACGTTTACGAGCATACAAAATTTCACCAGCCAATGCTATAGCACCAAGGATAAACCCAATCAAAGCAATCAACAAAGCTCCAGAAAATCTTCTGAGCGTCACAGCCTTTTCGTAAGCAATGTTCGTACTTTTGTCAAAGGAATCAAACATGGGGAGACCTTCAAATAAGACTTCTTTCATGGCATCCTTAAGGCAGCCTGAATTCAGCCACTTCTGTTGAATATCATAGATCTCTTCATTCTCTCGCATCTCCAGTATAGCGTGATCAAAACGAGTACAGAGTCCAGAAATGTTACAAGCAAAACTAAAATCTCGGTTGACGTCGAGTTCTCCTGCTACCATTAGATCACATGGCAGCTGAGCAGCATAGTAATCCGCCATTGGCTCTTCACAAATAAAGGCGTAATTTTCTGTCCTCACTTTTCGAAGAGCTTCCTCAATATCGTCGACATAGTTATCATCCGATGCGTTCATTCTAGCGAATATCCTCTGTTGAAGCATTTTCTTTGAGTTTTCAAAATAGGCTCTAGTAGAACCATGTCTAAATGTTCCGAAGGGAATCTTCTTCTGTTTGGCTAGTTCTTGAAACGTCATAAAGGGTACATCTCTTACAAGTGGTTCAGCCGTCAAGAAAAATGCTGTTAAATTGGCTACGTAAGTTCCAATGAACAAAATCGTAAAAATCCACCAAAAGGTTGCCATAATTCTTCCGGAAATTGATCTTGGTGCTGCAGTGTAACCTGGAAAAGTTACACAGACATTACGACAAACACTAAAGGCAGTAGTAGCTCAACGACACAGCTGGTCATCAAATCGAGTCTCCGTTTGTGATACGTTCCAGAATCTGGGACATGAAAATAGAAAGAGACCCGACTAATGTCCTTATCTGGACAACGTTTTTATCATTGTCCACTGCGTAGCGTTGTCAATTTTAATTGTTTGACCAGGATCGGAGGAGTTCAAGATGCAATTCATTCCATAGAATGATTCCATCAAGTCAGGAAGAAGTTAAAGATTTTAAAGTTACTCAATATCACTTTCACATGTCGACCGACCCACAGTCAGCATTTGTTCGCTATTATCAAGCAAATGGCGTCAAGATTCCGACGTTTTCTCCGACTGATCTTCAAACGTTAGAAATACAAAGTCGGCCAATGTACATATAAAATTGACATGAAAATATCTCTAGTTACCCACCTTGCCATGTTAAAGAACTAAATGTATACAGTAAACTATTAATCAGTGTCAATCCTTCGTAAGTTGATGCTTTTCCCACAAAAGAACAATCTTCATATGGACTAAATCTTCCTACAGCGTAGAAGAACAATGAGATTCCAAAAAAGACCAGTAATATCATAAACCATACAGCTGGAGAGAAGGGAGTAAAGAGAACTGTAAGCGGTTCACCATTAGCCCAGGGATTTGGTGGTTTGTATAAGATTTTCAATCCGGAGTTCATAAACGGATGACTGAACTCTATAACTTTAGCTCTCTTGGATGTAACTGTCAATTGGGCTGCAGCTATATCGGCTTTCTGAAATTAAAGAAAACATGGCCTTAAGTTCATGCTTACAATTGGAAACCAGTCACATCCAGCAGAAAGATGGTGGAACGCCATTCTGTCTCCTGGTGCTGTTCCTAATACCACATCGGACACTCCATGTATAAGCTCCATAACAAATCCACAGTTCAAAGTCTAATGTCGTCACATTTGCTAAAATAACCCACGCCCCTCTTAAAGACGCCCGATATGATCAACTATCACAATGAAACGCCAGGCCTAGAGGTTAAAGATTGGATTTGAAGCATCTATGTATTAAGGCCAACGTCCATTGCATGAACCGGCGATCACCAACGGCATCTAGGACTATATGAAGTGTTTAAGAATGAACGATTTTGGTCGAAGTATCCCCCTGGACTGTGCTTATGGTCGTCGAGGGAGCGAGTGGGTACAGGAGGGGTACACACAATTCAGAAGGTTGATATGTATTAAAAACAAAGGTGTAATACTCACTCCGTCACGGATTGACCCAATGAGTCCATTCCATTCTCCTGGCGTGTGTTCATAACCAAATTTACCATCCTCTTGTAAAGTGACTGTATATGTGAAGTTCAATTTAGAAGCCAATCTATCTAAAATATCTATAGCAATTCCTTGGTACTGGTTTTCTACTTTCATCAAATACGGATTGTGCTGTAATGAAAGTACTATACATGTTTAAGTTTGGTGAGGTCAGTGACTAGATGAGTAGGACCCTTGGACATAAGTGGGTTGGGGCCTTTCCCCGGAAATTTTTTCTGGATGGAGCCCCCTAAGAGGTGGGACCCGTGGACTTAGTTCAACCAGTCCCTATGGTAGATGAGCCACTTAGTGAAGTTCTTTTTATGACATCATTTACTCCAGTTAAACCAAGGTTAATAGTGAGAGCATCGAAATCTTGACGTTTTGCTATACAAAAACCAGCTTAATAACAAAATGCACCCAACTTACCAATAAAGATACGACTCGATATTGCGGAAGATCAGCAGTCTGAAAAGAACAAAAATTTACAGATCAAGGGACATAACTCTTGTATTATTCAATATTGACAGGAACTTTCCTTTATAATGACAGGTGTATTATAATAAAAGGCATTGCTTTTATCCTCGAACCATCCTTCAACTAAGCCTTCAAATCACATTTAAAGTTTTCTAAGGCATTGTTCGAATATTATAGCTTTTTTCGGAAATTATTAAGTCGAAAAAGAGATTCAATATGGTTGTGTATGTTATCTGCGCTAAGAACTATACATAGTTTTATATAACCTCGACCTTGACGTTAAGTTTGAATATTTGACACCAGGAATCATTTTCTTTGTAACTTTGTGAATGAGTCGCCAGGGACCACATAGTTAGACACTTGTTCACAATTCTGTAGGTCCAATTCTATTGTGGCATAGATGCGCGATCTCACCAGTGTGGTTTGCAGCGACACAAAAACATGCTCTCGCTCTGCACTGCACACTAGTGGCGGAACCAGGTTTACATCCGACGGGGGGGAGGTTGCTCGAATTTCTAATCTAGTTGTGAGATTTTTGCCTGAAAAGTGTGCTGCCCCAGAGCAGTTATGGTTATATTTATAGGCAATTTATTCAGATGAATATTAAAGAGTTATTTTGTACTACAAACGAAAATATTTGCTAGCGTTTGAATAATATTTGTGTAGAAACGTCAAAAAGCAAATGCATTAACATAATCAGTTGAGAGAAATACAAGAGCTAGCTAACGGGTAAACAAATTTAATACGTTATGTACCTCTGACCTGAGAGATTAATCATATTATTTACAATAGTGTTAGATATTTCGCATAACTTAAAGGGACAGTCTGATTTTTACGTCTAGTGGAAAAGTTAGATGCTCAAATAAATGAAATAAATAAACCAAGTACTAACGACCGAACCGCAAAACGAAACCCAAAATCCAAACATCATATTGGCGAAACATAAGTTGCCAATGCTGGAGAGGGTAGAATTTGATTGGTTAAAGCAGACGTCATAGAGTTTGGTCAAAAGGTTAATTTAACGAACGTTCAAGAGGGCTGTCGTTGGACCCCAACTGAAGTAAAAAATAAAAGCTAATGAAAACGGAACGAAAGTTAGGTCTCATTTGAATTAGACTGATATTTCACCTTTTAAAGGTGAAAATATAGAAATTACAGTGCTCGCATATTCGTCTCTCAATCGAAATTTCCAATTTCTTTAGCGAATAAGAATAAAAACAACACTATAATTATCAATTTCCATTAAAAACACGGCGTTTTGTCTGTTTACTATGAACTCAGGCGATTAATGCTAATCTATAATTCAGACACAATGCGTTACTAACAAAGAAAATACGATAATATCCCGCTGGCCTGGTTGTTTTTTTTTATATAGATATAATATAATATAATCCCTGTTTGTGGTGCAAGTAGGGTGTGACAAGGTCGGGGGAGAGGGCGGGGGGCATACATGAACAGCAAACCCATTTCCTCCTATGCTACAGGTTGTACTATAAGGATCTCTCTATAAAAGTGAGCAAATGCCGCTCTTCTAGTTAAAATTCCCGTGTAGCTCGCCTCTAGCTTGTAGAGTGCTCTGATTGGCTGTATTCACTAGAGTACAATCCAAACACACTTCTGTGAAACTCGTGCCTCAAGTGATTCAAGGTATTAGACGAAGTTTTATATTCTTTGACATTCTCAAGATGATGGCGTCACCCCATTTACTAACGGAAACGGGTACTTCAGAATATTCGATCCTTATACTACCAATGCGCCCTCTTCAGCGAACATTCTGTGCAGAGTGACTAAAGTTAACAATTGTGGCTGATAACCACCTTATACGACACTGATGTTCCTATTCATTCGTGGTTTTTAGAGCATAGCGATTTTTGACAATACCTCTTTGCTGTATTATTGAAGGTTAATATTCGCCATTTTGGGGGTTTGATTGTGGTCAATATAAGTAAATAATCCTTAGAAGAGCTAAAAATGTACGAAAATTCCTTCAAAAATACCTCAGACTAGGATGTTCACTTCCTATTTTTATATATGCCTTTTCTATATATGACAGAGTTTCAGGAAAAGACGAGTCGCCATTTTAACTTTTAAATGCGGGTAATTATGGACACACATGGATTTGATGAATATCGATGATGATCTGTGAAAATTATTACAAATAATTTAATTCCGCGATCCACGACCACCCAAGTCCCCTTTGCCCTTCTGGAGTCGCTATTTTAACTTTTAAACGCGGGTAATTCTGGACACACATGGATTTGATTGAATATCGATGGTGAGCTGTGAACATTATTACAAATTAGCTTAGCTAAATAATTCCAGTTTCTAAGACTAAGGTACGAATTGTCAAATGGATAACGAACTTGCTCTTTAATGGAAGCAATATAAAAAGATGTAAATGTAACTCCGGGTGATATGCTGGTAACAATGTAAAGTGGTTTGGCTGGGAACGAACATAAGGTTGTATTATATTAAAACATAATGAAGGCAAGTGAAAATATCATGTTTCCTGATCACAAGATATGTTATAGAGTACATCTACTTGTCTCGAATCATTTCATTACTTGATGACATTTACGCCCATTGCAAAAGTCAATAAATCAATCAAAAATCAGTTAGGTAAAAGATTAACATGAAAGTTAATTAAAACATATTTTACATGATGACACACGAAAAAGTCGCATGTATTGATATTTGATATTGATTATTCCGTCTGATTCTTCGCATTTACTCCTACCTCCTTTCCAATGGAGTTCGATAAATCGATCCACCAGTCACAGAGTCACACTGGGTGTTCAGAATAAGTCGGAAATCGAGCCCATATCGCAATTCAACTAGTTGATTTCGATCAGTCAGTTTTTCGCTTGAAACTGGAGAACATTGGCATCCGTCGTCAAATTCGATCTCATTTCAAACTATCTAATGATCAGATTCCGCTTCCTCTATACCAACAGCTGTGTAAGTTTGAGCCGAGTCGTTGACAAATCAACATGACCAAAAATATTTCCCCAGACGAGAGGGCAATGCCCCCCCCCCTCCCCCCTCACCTCACCTCCGTAAAATATTTCGAAGTTTATCTGTGTGATGCAACAATATTGATAATAGAGTCAATTTATTAGTTGTTTCTTTTATTCGAGGTAGTCATAGTGAAAATTCGATGCCCACTTTCGCGATGCACGACCACTCCAGTCCCTCGTGCCCTCTGGATAGTATATGTGTATAAAACGCAACACCTCTTTCTATATTTTGTAATAGATTAAGGACGCCTAACAACAACGTACACAACACACTAATCTACATCATGTAGCGTGTAGCAAAGTTAACAAAATTAACAAAAATTGTTCTACATACCCTACCAATGTCTACGAAACTCATCAAAATTACATACGAACATATCCAAATATTCATTTTGTATTGATATTTGGATGCAATATTTTCCAAATTTGACTGGGTCTCGACAAGAACATACATATAGGACAATAAACCTCTTGAATATCAGCGTTGACACTTTTATGGACAGCAATTTTATCAAAAAGGGTGACTAATACATACTAGGTGTAGTCAACACTATTTTTTATTTTGGCTTGTACCTCGCCTATTATAACTCGAGATATATGATATGAAATGAGTATTAGTGTATATAAGGGACACGTGATCCATTAGAAAGTTTATCGTGTTCATACTAGACCTATAGTGTCCTAAGAGTAACTCTATTTGAATAACCTACCTGATACACAGTGTCCTATTTTTACAGTTGTACCCTTAAAGGGATTGTAAAGGTTTTCTAAAATATTTATGTACATCGGGATCAGTGATATCGTCGATTTGAACCATTAAATCAGACTTCTGTGGTTCTTGCCATTTCATTTTATCTAGGCCTTTTATGATTTCAATATCGTAAGAGTCATTATCTATCAATAGCAACTTTTGCGATATTAACGGTTAAATTTCAAGAACCACAGACGTCTGACTGAAAATTGGAATGTTGTAAATCCATGATATCAGTGCCTCCGGTACACATACAAATTTTGGAAAACCTCTTTATAATCCCTTTAATTCTGTTAATGGAGACTTGTTTTACAAAAACTTATAATATTGCTTATTTTCTGCAACTGTTTGTCATACTGACAGGTACATGTAGGTCCTATCATGGCCTCTTTTTTACGTTCCTCAAGAACCAAAAAACAACACAAAACCTTTACATGTCCTTAGCTATACATTTTGGGAGGAGCGGGGGAGGATTTAATATAATAATAAAGGTACAAATATGTATATTAAGGAAAAATGATTGTTAAAGGGATTGTAAAGAGGATTTCTAAAAAAAATATGTGTATGGGGACACTGAGAGCATCAATTTGAACGATTAAAAATTTCAATCAGATGTCTGTGGCTCCCGCAATTCCACATAAAATAAATATTTGTTGACGGTACTAATCATATCGCCGAAGATGCTTTATCGCATGATGTTCTTTGCGATTAGTGACGTCAACTAACACTTAGTCCCAGTAAAATTACAAGAACCACAGACGTCTGATTGAAAATTGGAATGATGCAAATTAATGCTATCAGCGTCCCCGATACACATACAAAATTAAGAAAACGTTTTTACAATCCGTTAAAAGTATTTCTCTCGGGACTGATTTGGTTTTTTTTGGGGGAATTTTTTTCCA